CCTACAAATGAAAGTCCAAGAAAATGCCAAGAAGAACCTGAAAATGAAAATTAACATAAGCTCAACCTTACAGAAGCGAAGGTCGCAGAAGCAGACATGCTCAGTGAAACCAGACACAGATAACAAGAAGTTGTAAGTTAAGTGATTGTTGAACTAAAGAATAACTAAACGTATTTGCAAATAAAACTCTAAAAAGAAAAAGAAAGCAGGGGCTACTGTAGTGAGAAGTTAAGTGAACTAAGCATCACGTTGAATAGGATTGGAAAGAAAATTAGAAAACTTAATAACAGACTTGAAAAAATAACCAGAAGGCTTCTGAAAAAGAGACAAGAAAAAAGAGAGTGTGTGAGTGTGTGTGTGTGTGTGTGTGTGTGAATGTGTATGTGTGTGGGGGGGGCACAACATGATTAAAATACAGAAAGTAATGAAGAATAACAGACAGCAGTAATAAAATATTATTTTGGTATTTATTTGGTGAGGAAAGGAGTGTGGAGTTTTAAAACAAACAAAAGACACTGATCCCATCCCAAGAAAGTCAGCAAATGTCAAAGGAATAAGAAGTATTGTGCACCTAACCACATCATATTGAAACCAGGGAACACAAAGGCACAGAGTACCTTGTGAAAGCACTCAGAGGGAAAAGACAGTGAAAGAAAACAATAGCTAAGTGGGAAATCACTTCTCAACCATCAGAGAACAGGTACAATTTGAAGAAACTAGCTTTGAAATGTCATAGCGTAGCCACCAGGTTCAACTTTTTATTCAGAAAAAAGAAGTGAAAGCAAAATCAAGTTAACTACATTTCTCAGAAAATAAAGTCAGAGAGATTTTTGCCAAGGAGAATCTACATATGTAATTTTGCAAGTACGGAGGAAGAGTGTGAAAAGCATTTTTATTACAGCTTTCCATAATGGAGTCAATTCTTCCAATTATTTTGTCAGAAAAACATATCAGAACACAGCCATCATTAACTGTGTGTGTATGGTTTTATAAATATGTGTGTACATATATATAAAACAATTGTTTTCATGATGTGTTGGCTTAGGTGTATTACCATATGCTAGAAATTCAATTAGTGATACCAATAATGTTAATATTGGTATGGTATTGCAATGAATTGAATCAGAGTATACTCTGGTTATGAGCTGTCAGGCAAAATAGAATTTTAAAACCCTTTGCATTAAAAATAAAACCAAGTATAAAGGTATATTCAGAAGCTGTTTAAGTTTTTGATGCTCAATATTTTAGTAAAACATTTAGCAAACTAGTATTGCTTCAATTAAAGCTAGAATGATTAATAGTTCCTCTTACACAAAACTAGTGCTGGGGTGCACAATGGCTCAGCATTTAAGAACACATGCTGTTTCACAGAGGACCCAAGTTTGGGTACCAGCTTCCATGTTAAGATGCTCGTAACTGCCTGTATCTCCAGATCCGGGAATCCAAGGCCTTTGGTCTCTGTGGTAACTTCACTCATGTCGACTTATCCACACACCAGCATGCACAATTTAAAAAATATTAAAAGTAATCTCCAGAAGTCAGAGGGGAAGAGGATTGCATATGTGATGTCATTTTTGAAAGAAAAGAAATAATGACATGAAGAGGAGTAGATGTGGGTATGTTAAAGAGACCTTCGCAGTCTGTGCTTATAAAAACCGTGGTACAAAACAAGTTCTGAATTAGTCTGACTTCTCAACACAGTTGTTAAGATTAAACCAGTCTAGAAAAGCTTGGTGACTTTGTTTTCTTTGTTCCTTTTGGAGGACGTGATCTTCTAGCCCTCATCCCTGAGAGGGTAGGAAGTCAAGCAGGGAACTAAGGGAAGAGAAAAATGCCACAGGGTGTTAAGTGGAGGGACTTTTAAGTAAAAATGCCAGAAGTATTTGGACGGAAAGTAGAGGAGAGGAAACACTAAGCTAGAAACTATTGCAAGCTCTACAGCAGGAGAACATAGCAGAAACAAGGCGCCACGGTCTACACTGCAGTCTGCCCCTGGCCCAGGAAAGGTATTCAGCTTGCAGGCATCTAAGACAGATGGCTGCTTCCCTGAATTATGAGGCAGTGAAAACTATGAACAGTGCCATGTATGGGTGCAGGTACATATATTTTTGTCCAAATAGACACACAGATAAATAAGAGTCATATCCTGATCCATCAAGCCCCTGCCTGTCAGATTCACTTCTTTTTTTCACCTCTTCTCTAGGGTTTACTAACTTTTATTTGCCTTTGAGGCTGTCCATGTTTGTGAAGTGACTAGTATTTACATGTCATGATGCCACCGTCAGAATGTCCCTGATAACAAACATAGCTCTCACATTATCGTCCCAGACATTATGACTCAGTGCTAATTCTCAGATCACATGTTTGGAGGGGGTGAAATGGTACCACTGAGTCATACCAGGATTAGAGGATGGTGTTTCCCGAACAAGCAATTTAAGGAGGAAGTAAAAGTCATTTCAAAGAGTCACAAGGAGTAGCTTGGAAGAATAAGTCACAGCATGTCTTCATTTGTATTGACAATAGACCCCAGCTCTGGAAAACCACCTTCAATGGAAACAATGCATTGGTTGGCAACCATCTTGTAATGGGTAGCCTCTCTAGGGAGAAATAACTGTGGTTTTGCTCCTAACTCTTCACAAGTTTGACCTTCAGAGATCCCGTAGAAAAGATGCAGCAGTTACACTGAGAAGGGTGCACTCGCTAGTCTCTTCCTCAGATACTAGCAAGACTTGCCATCGGATGCAGGGCAGAGCCTCCGACCTTCACCATGGTTCTACAAGTTCTGCAAATTGTTCTTACCATATAAACACATTTCAGTGAGTGAGGACAGTGCTTAGCCTCACTCGTTCCTGACTGAGATAGTCATACAACTGACAGTCATCAAAACAGAATGCCAAACCTCTGCTAACCAGCTAACCACTCCTTTTTGTTTGTCTGTTTAGTTTCTCAAGACAGGGTTTCTCTGTAGCTTTGGAGCCTGTCCTGGAACTAGCTCTTATAGACCAGGCTGGCCTTGAACTCACAGAGACCTGCCTGCCTCTGCCTCCTGAGTGCTGGAATTAAAGGCGTGAGCCACCCCAGCCACCTAACCACTCCTTCTTTTATTCATTACTATCTGTAGGAAATGCTCATCTTTCAGCCCTTGCATGGAAAGGAGGTACCATCATCTGCTGTGCCCTTGTAGTCTCTGTCTCCTTCTGTGAGCCTGGGAGAAGAAAGAGCCCTGGCTTACCTTGATTTCAACCCCACTTGCCTACAGAGAAGATCTGACTTATTCTGTTCTGCCTGGACTGAGGTGACCATTTCAGATGTGAAACCCAGTCTGAGAAGACAGATCTGGGGTGGGTTGAACAGATGCTCTGCTTTGATTACATTAGGGATGAAACCAATACTCTGATCCCACTTTTCCTACAGCTGCCTTCTCAGCTGGGCCTAAGCTATAGAGGGTGAGAGCAGTACCATTATCTATCATCTGGTACCCAGCACCCACCAGGATGCTGGACATCATGGGGGCATGCTCCTTAAGCTCTCTATTGTAGGCTGGAAATTAGGCGATGGCATCCTGCAGCAACACTTAGGGATCAGCTGCAGCATTTAGCTGATACTGGGGTCTATTTGCAGCGGTGACTGGACAAGGGAGCACTATAGCTCAGGCATGATGCCGTAAAACAATTCCACACCAGTTTAGGATTCTTGATTTTAAAAAGGGTTATTTATTTAAGGGGAAAAACTTACAGATCACAGTCCTAAACAACAGTCCTCTGAGCACAAACAGGAAACAGAGTCTAGCAGCCAAAATGGGAGCTGGAAGCAAGAGAGCAGGCTTTTTAAAGTATAAGAGACCACGCCCCAGTGGGCTGGTATCTTAAAGGCTATTGGCTGAAGGAGCAGGATGTGCTCCTCACAACACAGGCACCTCTGCTCATGGCCAAGCTCCTCTGGCGTCAGCCCTAGCTCAGAGCCTTCCCAGATTTTCTCAGGCTTTACTGCGCTTGGAAGCTCTTCTGTCTTCTCCTTTCACCTACGCATGCTCTGTCTCCAGTTCCTCTTTGCATCCTTCACAAACCTTCCCTTTGATAAACAAAGACTGCTCTGTCCATAGAGGTGAACATGATTTTTCACCAAGACCTAACACGACAACAACGATGCTACCAGACTCTTTTCTCACGAAGCATAAAGTGAAACTCCAGGTCAGCAAGCAGAAGATGTATGTATTCTGCAGTACAGAAGCTACACACTGAAACCACGCCCACATTCGCCTTGGAAAGACAACTTGTGTGATTGCAGGCTGTCCTCGCTACTAGAGACAGCATCATTCCTTCTGAAGCCTGAGCCCAACAGGACTTCCCCATTCACTGGAAAGTGCGTGTGTACACTGACCGCTAAAAAAAATAGAAGAAAGATGTTTGCGGTATCATCGCTGAGGTTTGCTTCTGGGAAATGTGCTCATGTGAAAAACAAATGATCCCAATAAGACAATAGCCATAGAACTGTTCATCATGTATAAGCCTTGCCCCTCAGTTCCTCATGGTCTGAGGACTTCTTGGTTTTAATACAACTCACAAAATTTCACCTTATAGAAATGAAACTATGCCACATAGAGAACATGACTTTTTAAAACTTACATGTATTTTTTTCTTTAGCAACAACAAATCTGATTTCCCATATTCACAAAAGTTACTGAACATATAAGAAAAGTATAATAGTATTGTTCTGTGGCATTTTTTTAACCTTTAAGAATATGTAAATGTTACCAGGCGGTGGTGGCACCTGCCTTTAATCCCAGCACTCGGGACACAGAGGCAGGTGGATCTCTCTGAGTTCAAAGCCAGCCTGGTCTACAAGAGCTAGTTCCAGGAAAGGCTCCAAAGCTATAGAGAAACCCTGCCTTGAAAAAAATAAAACAAGAAGAAATCTAATGTGAAAAGTATACACATACTTTACAAAGGAAATGGAAGTTTGTCTCCATGGCATAATTTTTGAGAGGAAGCAGGACTTACCTTCACTGGAGTCCTTTGAACTTTCTGCTTTCTTTGCTTTGCTCTTCTTGTGAGGTGGGGAAAGGCCTTTAGGCTCAAGCCCTTCTGGAAGTACAAATTTAATAATTCTTATTTAAATATTTACCAGTAATGTCCAGAGTATGTTAAAGTTTAAATATTTTTTCTTCTTCTTCTTAGTAACCTCACCCACCACACAAACACACTTACTGAGCCTTAACTACAGATCCATCTGTCCTTGTGGCTGAACTAAATCTTGGCAAGGAGCTTGTATTCTCCATTCTACTACATAGACTTAAACTTAAGCTCCAATATTTTTCTGTAGACATCATCAACGATTCATACAAATGCCAAATCATACACAAGTGCTATCTTAAAAAATGGCTAATTCTCCATAAGAGCAGTCCAAAGGACTCTGCTCTAAATTTCAAGGCTTCGCAGATGCCATGACATCTTTCATCTTTGTCCTCAAAAGTTGGAGAAATGAAATACAATGTCACCTCACTTTTAAGGTGCCTGGGGTTGGGAAAGGTTCTGCTTCTACTGAACGGGCTCCTTTTCTAATCTAGAATCTAAGGAGCACTCTTTTATGTCCCCAACTAATCTGTTGCTTTTAGCAATTTTTTCAACGTTTTCTTAAGTCTACCCCCAGGGACTAGGAAAGACTGGAGGGAGTCTGGAGAAAGAGCTCTCAGTCCACCCCATCTGATTAGCACGTTTGCTGGCCTTGAGTTACAGTTTCTACTTAATCTTTCGGCTGAGCTCAGTGTTGCTGTCTTCTGCCGTTGTTGCCTCCCATTTTTTGGTTTGAGGTTGGGTGTCTGGATGTCTTCTGCTTGCTTTTCCATTCCACTCTCGACCAGTTAACAACTCTTCCTGCAGCCTAAGACCAAATGCTCTCGCTTGTGCCAGTAAACTTGTCAATACCCTATCTTCCTGCTAGTTCCCCTCAGTGGGGAATCCACAAAATCTACTTTATGAGATCCTGGTATTCTTTGTGGGTGGACTGATCCCTAAACTAAGGTTAGAGTCACTATCAGCTGGTCTTCTTCACAGGTTACCGGTCCCAAAGTCACCCTCATTACTACCCCACGCAAGGCTGGGACTTATATGTCCTACTTTCTCAGTCTGAATGGTTTTACTTCCCGCAACCCAATCAGGAATCTCAAATCTAAAACCAGTCAGACCTAGCCTTCATGCGGACAAACCTCTGTGGTACTCCATGTCTAGAAGAATGGTGCTGCATACAATCTACCAACCAGTTCAAACTAAAACCTAGGAATTGCCATTCAAACTTACACTCACCTGCATTCCCATGCCAGCTGATCATACCATCTTTGCTCTAACAAACCCCAGACCCATCTATTATAAATGGTCCTGGCACCCGCATCAGCAGCACTTCTTGCTCTTTCTCAGCTCCTGTCGCTAGCCTTCTAACCTTCCCTTCTAAGGACCGTGCTTCTGCTGCTCCACACCGTGATCTTTTCAAACATCAATCAGATCTGGGAGCTCACCCCCTTCCACCGCAGAGCACAACGCGCCATCCATTTGGCTTGGTTGATATCTGCAGTTTCACTGTCCGTTTGCCTTTCAAGTTTTTCTTCAATTCCTTCTTCGCTTTTATTTTCTAAGTGTGTATGTTTTGTATGCATGTGTGTACATGCAGCACGTGGGTACAGTGACCACAGAAACCAGAAGAGGGTGTAAGAACTTCTGGAACTGGAGATACAGGTAATTATGAACAACTATATGGGTGCTGGGAATAGAACCTGGGTCCCCTGAAAGAACATCCAGTGCTCATAACTGCTGAGCAATCCCTCTATTCCACCATCTTACTTTAATTTTTTGAACCATAGATTGATTTATGCCCCAGGACTTTGCTACTGTCTCCCACTTCAATGCCTCTAGTACATTTCTGCCTAGTTTTGGGGTTTTCTTTTTACTCTTTTCATTTTTCCAGACTAAATTTACCCACTGCAACACACACACACATACACACACACACACACACACATACACACACACATACACACACACACACACACACACACACACACACACCGGTGGCAGGAGGTTTAGGGGGCATTCCCTGACTACACAATGTAAAGGGCCTATAAGGAAAGTTTTTCAAAACCACATCACTTGTATCTGAAATTATCTTGCTCTCTCATTTGTGTCTTTATTGTATACTTATATACACATGCAACTAACTCAACGTTTTACAAGAAAAGGGTGTTTCTTTTTTTCACTTCCCTCCTGTATCCTTGGAGCTGAGAAGTACTGTAAGAATCATTTCAGAGTCTGCTTTATTCTTGCTTCACTGGTCCTTTCTTTAAGTCCAAGATATAACAGCTCTATGCCTAACTCATTCTCTTAGCAGCTGTTGCCTCGTGCCAGAATTCTAAAATCACACTATGGGACTGTGGTTAACTCATTTCTTTCCTTTCCTCTTTCATCTATTAAGAAAGAAACAGAACAACAATAAAAAATGTGCACGTTTGATAGATGTGCTATTAAAAATTTCAGCGTCACAGACTACAAAGGTGCTGGGCATAAGGGTTAAATTTTATATGGTCACAAGTCAGTCATGGCTAAGGTTATTACCAAGGCCAGGGTGAAAAACATTGCCAATGACTGCATTAGCAGCTTGCCAACTTCTGTCACAGGTATGAGATGCATGCTGACCTTTTAAAATGGTTCAGCAAAACCAGAAATGGGGTCTTTGGAACAGCTTATTGCGTACAAATATCGAGTCCACCGAGAGTCATGAACAAGGCTATGAGGCACTGTGATCTCACCATTACAGGATCTAGTCCCATTATACCCTGATGAGTGCTGTCCTGGGGGGCCAGACAAGAGCCTCCAGAAATGAAAATGCAGCTTCACAATATGGTTTCTTACACCTGGAGGTTTTGTTGATTGCATGCCAAGTTTGTGATTTCCCGCCTTAACAGAAATTCTTAGGATCCAGTTGAAGTTTTCAAAGACATCTGTTTGCCTACATTTAAAGATACTATGTTCAACGAACATGGAAGCTTGTTGCATAGAAGGGCATGTGTGAAATTCATGAGTCTTTGATTGTTTCCTGATGCCCATGGGGTGTTCAAATAAAAGTCACTAATAAACAGGACCTCTGTGCAAAGGTTCCTACCTGAGGCTCAGCAGAGGAGTCACTCCCTCTTGGTCTAAAGGGAGCTGAAGGAGAAACTGATGTTGTTCCTCTTTGAAAACAATGTCCCGAGCCTTCTTGATGTGTACTATTTTAGGTTGCCTGTTTCTGGCAAAGTCTGGAATCTGGAGTTTGGCTATGAGACTGAAACCTCTTTTTTCCTCTGCCCTAGGTGAGTAGAACTGTGATGGTTGATATAGGTGAAGCCCTGCTGCCTCAGGTTGGTTCAAGTCAAGGGTGTGTGGCCATGGAGATGGAAGGACATGGGGAAACATTTGATATGCCTGAGTAAGGATGATTAAAGTTGTATGTGTTTAAGCCAGCTTCTTTCTTTCAGGGGGAGAATGTCATCTTGAAGACCTATCAACTCCATTTGAGATGCTTCTGCTTCGCTCTAAGGGTCTGGAGACCACAGCAAAAAGTTAAATTGCATCAATTCTGGTGTAAGACAAACTTGGATTCAAATTCTGGCTCTACTTTTTAAGTAAGAATTAATTGAAGCCTCCATAATCAAAGCCTTTCTTTGTCAGTTGTTGTATGAAATAAACTCAGCATGTCCAGTGATTTGCACAAGAGAATGCCCAGTTGAAGTCTGGCATGCTCAGAGATATGCCAAGCCTGAACTGAGCCACCTCACACCATCTCGCTCCAGCTCTCTCATTGGGAGCTTTGAAAAGTGTGTGGCAGATATTATCATACCTATAAAATCATCAGGAGATTCCCATTGCAACTCAAATCACCCACAGAGCCAACTGACAAGCATGGCATTGCTTTTAGATATCGAAGTTGTTATTCCCTGCCACTCAACAGCATCTGTTATCAGGTTGAGTCTCTCGAGTAGCCCTTCACTAGGTCAACTGTATTCTTAACCAACTCTGTAGGTTTCCCATTTCGGTAAAAGGAGGCAATGTACGGCAGAGGGAAGACAAAAATGAATGGTCTTAGGAGACAGCTAGACTCATCTTGCAGACCAACACACTCCACCGTGAGATTATAACAAAACCAGCCAGCACACCAACGTATGGCAGAGCCAGCTGGAATGTTATGGACCATCCGGCACACAAGTCTCCCATGGCTTCAGCCCTCAAACATTAGGAGATGCAAACGAGCTCCCCGCACCTATTCTGTCTTGGCATCACGGATCATTGAGTGTGACTCGACCAGATGTTGAAGGCAGAACTCCCTGGATATCTGATGGGACTGGAATCGGAAATAATGAGAATACTCCAGACTGCAAATGCTGATTCTAGCTTGTGGAGTCATCCTTCCTTTCAACAATTTCTTTAAAATGAATCAATGGTTTGGGTAGTTAGCTAGCTCTATTTAAGAAGGCAAGTCCCTTTGCTGAGGAATGTGCAGCTGTGGCACTGAGGCCAATGATCCATGGAACATAAAGATGGCTGAAAGGGCAGAACCTTTATGGCTGAAGAATCCTCCAAGGACACTTTATGCAAGGCAATGCATGAGAATAACTAAGAATAGCACTGGATTCATACAAGTTAATCTAGGACAGATTTTTAAAAATAAGACATTTTACATGTACATAAGAATTGAAGTTCTTATAGAAATTTATCTTGGGCTTTTTGTTTCATAAAATTCAGGTAGAGTTCTTGTCTTAGGTTGCATTATCTCAGGTATAGATACTGGGACAATGTTTTGAGTATAAGTAGCTAATTTGAGAATTAATCTCAGGAAGTATCAGAAAAGGACTAATGAAATAAAACAGAAGAAAGAAGATAGATACCTCTGCATATATTCATAAACAAGCCCCACCATGGGCATTATAGGCTCAACTCTATTGGGGACTTCTTGTTAAGAATATAGAATTATGATGTTTAATATTCCAGCTATATAAATATTTTCAGTGAGAACTTGAAATGTGTTTACTTAATCTGAATGAGATGTGGACATGAGATATGCATGGATGTCATAGGTTTAGAATTAAAACTTAGACATGACATCTAATTGAATTTCTACATTGATTATAGGTTGAACTGTTAACATTTTTGGATAATTGTGTTATATAAAATGTTGCTAAAGTTAATTTCCTTTATTTATTTTTTAGTATGAGTATCAGAAAATACAAAATTACATCTGAAGCTCATATATTTCTATTGGCTATACTGCAAAATACCCTAGAATGTGTCTCAGGTGTGTGTTTGTGTGTGTGTGTGTGTGTGTGTGTGTGTGTGTGTTTTGCTCAGGTTTAAATCAATTTCCTTGTACAATGACACTACTGAGCTATACCACCTCCACAGGAATCCTGGGAAGCTAACCCTTATTCATCATTGGTTTGAAGGGTACTTTATCCATCATTGGTTTGAAGGGTACTTTATCCATCATTGGTTGGAAGGATACTTTATCCATCATTGGTTGGAGAGCTACTCCAGAGAAACAAACTCACTAGTACATTGAGTTTTCCTGCATGAATAGAGAAAGCCACTCAGCTGAGGACCATAAAAGCTATCATTAGAAAGTTTCCATTCAAAGCCAAGAATGAGTGCTGAGGGAACATAGGCATGGCATCAGCAGCTGCTACAGTCCCTCCTCTGCTACCTCCGTTCCTGCTTCTAACTTTCACATTCTTTACCACCTCTCATTTTAGCTGTGTTCATTGCCTCTGTAGAGAAGGGAACCTTATAAATCATGTCTAGACTGGAGAAGAGTAGAGAAATTCTGTGGTTATTGGCCCAATGGACTTTTAAGAAGAAAGGGAGCAGATGCTATTTCTCTAGATAGTGAATGGATTGCCATTATAGGGACAGAATTAAATTAATGCAGAGAACTTTAATGAACCCTCAGTTAATGAGACCCTTCACATCGGAATTTAAAGCTATGGTCATTGGAGATGCTGAGACCAAGATTGTCAGTAACTTATAGGCTTCTCTGGAGTCAAATTGTAGGGTACCCAAGACTAAAATCTTTGAGATATCTGTTTTAAAATTTGAAAGCTGGGTCTATTTCATACTAAAAACATAGTGGTTGTTGAAATGGGGAATATGGACCTCTTAATCTTATAATCTCCATGGTTGAGAAAAAGACAACAAAAAGTAATAGCATAGTGAATAGTGAAGCTTTACCAAGAGCCAAGCAGTGTTTCATTTCATCTTCTAATTGAAACAATATGGTGAGTATTGTCACCCCAGAAGTGAACAAAGACTATTGTAGAAAGATACTTAAAGTCAACGAACGGGGTAGAGCTAGAACTGTGTTTGGGTCTATTGATCCATGAATCACTATTTATGGGCATAGTGAGCGATTCTCTTAGGCCAGAGCTTACACTTTTAACCACCAGGTTTCCTTATGATTCTGATCTCTCTTGGATGGTTATCTTATATCTTAATAATAAGAATGGTATATGCTGTATGATATTCATCAAATAAAGCCACAGGAGCATTTGAGGCCTTACAAGCTGTGAAGAACCATCTTGAAGAAGGAAATGGTGTTATGGGATTTCTACACCTTGACCTTAAGAAGGTAAAACATCTCCCTGGCTCAATGATGCTTTCAAGATGAAATCAGCTGGTCACCGTGTTAGAAAGACTTCTGTATCTTCTAGATCACTTACAGTGTTTAAGTTTGGAAAATTGCCCCCAGCAAGGCTTCAGCTTGTAGCTGAGTCAATCACCATCCAGGCAAGTAATTAAAAAACTTTTAGAGTACATCAGCCCCTAATGGAGGTCCTGATCGCATAGAATTGGGTGAGTAAATGTCTTCTACTCTGAAATTCTCAGACCCAGATTATTAGCAAAGCAAACTGTTGTCTTAAGTACCAAGACATGGTGGTGATGATTTCTTTACATCTCTGCTGGTTACGCTACAACAGTAATGTACCTTTCTTTCATATTTTTCCCTTTACTCTGTCAAGAAGCTCAAAGTTCAATTTAACTCTTAAACATAGAAACTATGTTTGCCTAAAGAGTTACTGTAGCCACTCCCCTATTTTATGATGTTGAACACACATTTCTATATTTTCATCTTATTCAGTCTTTCCTTAAAAATTACAGGATCTGACGAAATAAAATTGATTCCCTGCTTTACCCCAAGCAATAAAATTACGGTCTTATTACCTGTGTCTTCTTTCATGTCAACATCAGCTGCTCCCTCATTGTTATCATCTGTTGAAAAAGGAAAGATAAAGACTCAGAGCAAGGCAAAATGCGCCAGAATGCTCAAGTTTGATTCATCAAGTAACAAAAGGAAAGTAGAAAGCTGAGTACTACAACAGCCATTTATCCTGTATCATCACACTGGATCATGCTGTGTTTGAGGAAAGTGCGCCCACATAGCAGAACCTAACACCGAGGGTTACATTCCCCTTTATAACAACATGTATGCAGCATAATTTGTTTTATTTATACAACGTATGTGTGGCCACATGGGCCATCTCAATTCTTCAAAACTGTTTCCCGTGAACTTTAAATACCATGTACTTCACATTCTGGGAAAGTATGTGCACTGAGCTCCAGTGTCAGGACAGTGGACGCACTGACATTTGCTTCCTGCACTCGGCTAAGAGCAGTGCCGCTATATTGCTAGGCAGACTTTCCACCACCGGCCCCCATGGACCTTACAGGTGTTCCCGTTTCTGTCCTGTTCCCTTCATTTCCCATAATACTGCTTTCTAAGTGGACAAGGATGTGTGATCTGCACTCTGATGACATGCTTGCTGAGTGACTACTTCTCCCTCTCGCAGTGTGTGTATGTGTGTGTGTGTGTGTGTGTGTGTGCTTGCGTGCACATGTGTATATTGAAAAATGGTCTTTCTATGTATCCCAAGCTGTAATAACACCATGTAAAAATTGTTCCAATCCTCCTGCCTCAGTTGTATACCATCATACCGGGTTGTACTTACTCCTTTGAACTCAGAGCCCGATATGTCTCTCCTTGAATGCTTCTCATATCTAATACCTTGGTCTGAATATTTGCCACCTGTTTATATAGTGAGACCTTTCCCTAAAGTCATGATCTTTGGAAGATGATTTCATCACCAAGATGGAGCCCTAATGAATAAGATCAGTTGCCCTAAGGAAGAGGTCAACGAGAGACACAGTCTCTGTTGTTCCATTAAGGACATGGAGAGATGATACTCTCTCCATAAGGAACTGGACCCTAGCAGGCAATACAACTGCTGAAATCTGGATACTGGATTTCTAGCTTTTCAGAAATAAATTTCTGTTTTCTAAGCCTTTCCATCTGTGGTATGTTTTTACAGCAGTCCAGACACTACATACAAGTTAATGCCTGTATGTTTGTTCCTCTCCAGGTACTTTACGGTACTTTAATTCTAATCTTCTGCCTTATGTGTTTGAGGGGTTTCCCAGTTGATCCTTTCTGCTGCTTCCAATGACACATTTTCATTTCATTAAGAGTGCCTACCAGTTCATCTTAATACAGTTCTTCTCTGATCTACATGCTCTGGTAACAGCCCTCTGTGCAAAGCATGAAGCACAAAGCATGCCCCTTAGCCCTCCGACTCTTTTCTCTAATACTTAAGACCAAAGATATCTCATTCTGACCACCTTCCTTACTTCCATGACGTTAGTGTTATCACCTAGACAGATGGCAACACTCAACAATCTTTTGTTTCCTCAAGGTATTATTGCTCTTACTCTATTCTATGTTGCTATAACAAAGTACATGGAGTGAGTGTTTTACAGATACGAGAGGTTTATTTAGCTCACAGCTTTGGAGGATAAAAGTATAAGACAGTGTGCTCCCATCTGTTTAGGCCTCTGCTGAGAGCCAATGGTGGTGTCATCATCTGGCAGATGGTGTCACAAAATAGGCACATGCACATGTTAAGAGTAAGCAAGATGGCAGGGAGAAGCACAGCTCTCTTTCTCTCTCCTATGACTAAAGAATCTGAGCACTAACTCCGTCCTAGGAGAACCACACTACCTAGGTTAGTGCCCCATGACTTAGTTACCTCTAAATGGCATAGAAGCTTGGTGCCATTACCCTGAAGACCAATATTCTAGAGCACAGATCTTTAGAAGATAAACCACAGTATTTCCCTTTAACATCCTCTATCTTCCTCACTCCTTCTGGTGAAACCATCTCCCTCTCTTTTCATCTAAACCCTTCAAGACTTAAGTTTGAATTTTCTGATGCAGGTGAGCAAAAGTTTCACCCAGAAAAGGAAGAGGCAGCTAAATCAGAAGAGGTGTCTATGAAGGCTTTCCTGATCATCTATCTGATGCAAGTTTGAATTAACTGTATTCTTTTTGTTGACTTATTTTTGCTATCTTATGAATATATACTTTGAAGACTTTTGAACTCAGGTCTGCCTACTTCAGCCCACCCATTTACTAGGCATGTGATCCTGGAGAAGTTGCCTATTCTTCCTGAGTTTCAGGTTCCTTGATCATGATGAGTGATGATAACAATGTCTACTACATGGACTTGCTCTAAGGACTGAGTTAAATAATGCCTATGCAAAGCACGAGAGCAGGTATTGAAACATCATCAAGCACTAATATTGGTTATTATTTTTATAAAACGTCACAATCTAGCACTACCTTCCAGATGCCCATTTCATCAATACTATGAGGATGAAGGCCATGTCTTGTGTTTCTTTCTTTTCCTTGATACCCAGTACCATTCATCTTACGTAATAGAATAGATTAAAAAAAACCTTTCCACTAAATGGCCAAACTACAAACAAGCATGTAATCCTGGGAAAGTGACATAAAACAATATAATCCTCAGTTTCTCAATCTGAAGAACAGGGATGGGAAAGGAATCAACTTCCTACAACTGGGGTGTGTGTGCACACTTGCATGCGCACATGCACCCCCCCCCCATCTTGCACAGATTAAGCTTTTAAAGCTACTGATAATTGGTGACATGACACGGGTATTCTACTTGATACTTTGGTAACCATTTAGTAAGTACTACCACACACAAGAAACATAATCATCCTTGAAGACTTTGTCAAGAATCCCTTTCTTCACAGAAATCACAAAGGGAGTCACAATGAGCAGACTTCAGGAGGCAGAGCAAGACATGATGGGCTGCTGTAGGTGAGCAGGGAGGGGTTCTATCACTGACAGAAAAGAGGAAGTCCATGGGCACTTTCCACAGGAGCTGACGGGTCACCTTAAAGGTAAGCTGAGACTAACTTGAGGTAATGAGAGCCAGCAGTGTGTCATCAGAAAAGGTAGTCTCCCGACTACACACTTCACGCTCACTGACACTTGGCATCTGTCGTGTGGGTCCTTTGCCTAAGAGTTTTCTCTGGTTCTTGTCTCTGGAGCCCAGTTGACTAAAGAAATTCTGTACAATGAACCTGTTCCAGGAGCCAGCCTACCACACGTGACGGACAGCTCTCTGTTTCTCAAGCTCCTCCCACAAATACCGCAGCTTGTTCCTTGTTCCACATGATTTCCCTAAGTCTCCTTCCCTCATTGGACTTGAGGTGCTTGAACTTGAACAGAGTTAGAGCGTGAGTAGTTTGGAACTTAACCTCTTGACCTCCTTTGCCACTCTCCCTTCCTCTCTCTTCTGCTGGCGTTTCCCCGGATTGCCTTTCAACCAAGGATCTCTACACTTGAACCCTTGCTTCAGGACAGGCTTTGGGGTCCGTTTATTTATTTTTATTTTTAGCACCCTCAAACAGATGGAAAACTCTTGGAAATACATGTAGAGGAGCAGTCAAAATACCTTCAATGAAATTCAATTCATTCTGAATGGCTGAAGGGCAGATAACCTGAAGCTTCAGTGGTCTTTTCTGGCTAAATGTCCTCCCTTACCAGGAGTAATGGTTCATTTCACAGGCCATGTGACGGGGCCACAAGGCTCCACAACATCTTTCTGTGTGTGTCTTTGAGGGTGTTTCTGGAGAATGCCACTTAAACAGGAAGACTGAGAAAAGTAGATGGCCCTCCCTTATGTGGGTGAGCATCGGGAAACCATAGGAAAGTTCCCAGCAGACAGAAAGGCTGAACTTCGTCTGGATGAGGGCCATGCTTCACAGTCCATTACCCACAGTGCTGTCCTAATGGTTCTCGTGATTGGACCCTGTTTCATCTCTACCTTCGAATTTAAACTGAAATATTGCTTCTTACTTTGTTTTAAGCCTACAAGTACTCAGACTAGGACAGTGCTTCTCAAACTTCCTAATGCTATGACACTTTAATACAGGTTTCATGTTGTGCTGACCCCCAACCATAAAATTATTTCATTGCTACTTCATAACTGTAATCTTGCTACTGTTGTGTATCACAATGCAAAGGTCTTATACGCAGGATATCTGATATGCGACCTCCAAAGGGCCTGCGACCCATAGGTTGAGAACTGCTAGACTAGAAACACACCACTGGCCTTCTGGCTCTCAGGTCATTGACCTCGGAGGGGAACTGTGCTACCTATCCTTTGGGGTTACCTTCCTGTCTGAAGAGCTGGAGACTTGTAAGCTTCCATACTTTTATGAGACATGCCTTATAATAACCATTTTCCATATGTCATACACAGGTGTGTTCCTCTGCTTTTCTAGAGAAACACTAAGAAAAGATTTTTGAAAGAAAGAAAATTTACACCAATGTGACAGCATTTGAAGTTCTGACAAAAACTAGAACAACCAAACAACTTTAGGCAAAAGAATGATGTGCTGAGTATTGAAGAACAAGTTTTATCTTTATCAGAGGAACTCACCATGATATCAAAAGATATGTGCCTTGATATTTTGATATTTGAATTAAAATAAAAGGGAAGTGCTTTTAGTCTGGAAAGCATATAATGCAGTTGAATATTAATTAAATTTACCTTTCTTCCACATCCCATACAATGTGCTTGCTTGAGCCATATTTATGAACTATTTCTGTTGGGGCTTCTTTTCCTAACAATACTAGGAACCAGAATGACATTATATAAAAACAGATGATACCCTCTGGAGTTGAGAGTCATGACACTGAAAATTTGGACACAGTTCGGGGACTGATGGAGCGTGGGCACAGAGCTCCTCTGCTTTTATGCAGTTTATCAAGCTTCATACGTCTTTGTTAGAGGACAAAAATGCAATAAAAGGTCTCTAGCCAAAGAGATACAAATGCCATTTCAAAACAGAGAGCAATCCATCAGTTGGTATTGTTCTGTGTATGCATAAATGCCAATCCCA